AACGGGGCACGAACCCGCGTCTCCTGCATCGGCAGGCGGACTCTCAAGCACTGCGCCACCAGGGAAGCCCCACACATATATTTTTACAAAAAGTATTTTCTGAAACTGCCACCTCATCTACACCTAAAGAAGACGGATGACTCTTCCGTGACCACACGCGAGGGTCGGCCTGTCGACAGACAGGCGGGAAAGCTCTGCCGGGCCCAGCCTGCCCCCGCCGACCCCGCGTGGGCACAGGTCTGCTGACCGTACAGCCGGCCCGTCAGCCCCTTCCCGGAAAGAGTAAGGCCGTTCTGTTTTGATTTCGGTAGATAATCTTGTGCCGTGGCGATCAGAAGGGCAAAACGAAGCAGTCATGGTGAACAGCAGGACCGCCCCTCAGTCAGGCGGTTTTGGAGACGACCAGGAAGGTGGATGCGAGGCATGCGGTTGTGTGAGCAAAATGGGGGGTCAGGAACCCGGGACGCGGTTTGCTGCCCAGCAGGCTCGTCTCAGCCCCGGTGGCCGGTGGGTGCGGGAGCTGCTGCGAATCCACATCCTGCCGTTGTTGAAAGTGCGTCCCAGCCAGAGCGTCCACATGGACGAACCATCTTGGTCTATAACCCTAATTTTATATTACAAAGAGCATCCTTTCAAAAGCGTATGCTGCGTAAAAATGTACTTACAGGAGAATCTCTGTGAACTGTATTTCTTGTATGTGCGACAGAGAGAGAGAGGCTATTTTAGCCAGGCAAAAGGTTTGTGCAGTGATTGGAATAAATCATTTATGACCCTTCAGTCCCATTTAGGACACTGATAATAAAACCATGGCAATGCACTTCTGAGGCTTTAAAACTTTACTTCTTTGTGGTTTCTGAAAGCAGGAAGCATCCCTAAAATCTTTAAAATACAGCCGTTTGACCTGTCGCACGGGGTGGTGGCAGGTGGGCAGGGCCGCGGGCTTCTGCGGCCTGGGAGCAGCCCTCACCGTGGCAGGTCTGCACCCCCCTGGGGAGATTCCCAGACACGGAGCGCCTCAGGCCCCCCAGCCCACCTGGTCAGAGTCCGCATGGTCACAAGCTCCCAGGTGATTTGTACGCCTGTGAAAGCCAGGGAGGTGCTACTCTAGATGCCAGCCGGGATGAGCCTCTGTTCAAATGACCGGCAAAACTGGGTGCATTAAAAAAAAAAAAAGGCAACTAAAACATATCGAGTGCCTGCTTGGTGTCACGTCACGTGCCAGGCAGGCACTTTCACGTATCACCTGTTTCATCCTCAAGATCAGCTTGCAAGTTAGGTTAAACAATTGCCCAAGTTCAAAAGCTGGGGCTTGGACCTGGTCTGACTCCTGACTCCACAGCCCAGGTGCCTTTTCTTACAGCTCGGGCTCGGCATGCCCTCAAGCCGGCACGCGGAAGGGACGACGGGGGGACACGGAGTGGTGACTTCAAAACAAACTTCTGAGCCTTATTTTTAAAGCACACCATCACTGCGAAGTGGGAAAAACCGCAGTCGGGATGTGAACCCGCCCGTCTCGCTTCCCGGTGTTTCCGTCACGCGGCCTGGCAGCGGCAGGCGGTTTGGTGGGGATTACAGCAGGGGGTCACGGAAGGGTCCTGACTGTAATCCGCTCGGGAGATGTTGTCGCCGGCAACGTCTTCAAGGACCTCCGAGAGAGCCGCTCTGACCTCGGGCAGCACCCTCTGGTACTCGGCACTACCCCGTTCCAGAGGCAGAGATTCTGCGACATCATCATCCAGGTTAAAGATGAGGGGAGGCTCGTGGTGCCACTGGGGACCGACGCTGCCATCGCAGGCTCTGGCCCCACCTGGAGCGGGTGACAAGAGAGACCCCGTCAAGCCCAGCGCCAGATTACAAGTGAGTGCAAACATACCAGGACTCCAATGCTCCAGTGACCGCTCTCCCTGCCACTAAGACACTGACTCAAGTATCTTTCCCCCCTACCCTCTGGGAGTAAATGTGATGTGTCTTTTGAAAATTGATTTCTTGAGTCCACAGGACACTCAATTTGGCAAATTAGGCAGGGAGGCCAGGGAAGTCGTTTCACTTCGGGCTGCAGTTCAGTTTCTTGTCTGAGTTAGGATCTGGCTGTTACGGCGGTCCCCAAAGACGGGTGACGAAAACGTTTGGAGCGATGGCAGCCTCCTTGGCTGTTAATGATTCAGATGACTTTGTTTTGCCCCCTTTTCCGTACAAAAAGTAGTTAAGGCTTCTGACAGGAATGAACACAATATAATTATATCAACAAAAGGAATTCAGGCGGAGGACAGCCCTGGGACACACAGGCAATCCTGAACACTTCCTTTGCCTCTGGTCTCCTTAGCAGGGAAACGTGAACGAGGTAGACATTTACCAGCCGCTCGGGGAAGCAGAGCCCTGAGGTGTGAGAGAATTTTTTCCACTGTCTCCTCCTACAGGGTGGAACACTCGACAGCATCCTTAGGAAAAGCACAGCTGTGTGATGAGGCCGGTCCAGCTGACAACTTTCTATCCCACCCTCCGCTACAAGCTGAGAGCCTGAAGCCCAAGTGCAACTCAGTAAAAGCAAATCTCCACGAAGGAGCCACAGTCACACCACGGGAGGACGCAGCTTTCATTCTGGGCCGATCTGAACAGAAACACAAAATGTGAACCACTGAGAGGGAAGACCGCGCAGCCTTTGGGAAGCCCCCTGTTGAAGCTGCTCCTCCTGGGATGGATTTCAGTTTGTCCAACGGGAAGGAAGGGTCGTTGCCTAGTGTTTGGAGTTGAAGTTGGCTCCTCTTTGCCCATAAACAGAGGTGACGTGAGCTTTGGCAATCAGTCAAGCGAAGGTGGGGACTGACTCCTCTTGTAAAAATTAGAGGCTTCCACTTAAGTAAGGGAATAATGGAGTAGCTCACATAAAACTCATCCTCCCCTAGATGACAATTTTAAGTTCTAGGCAACATACAGAAAAAAAACAGCCAATTGAAGGCACCGGAAAATCATCCATGCAGGCAGAAAGGAATTTGATTTGTGAAAGCAGGAGGCCGCACGGGGTGGGGTCTGTGTTTAAGTGTTTTCCCCTGGGGACACCCCCCTACCCACCCAGTCAGAGCAGCGCGGAGCAGCTAAAGCCCCAGGAGGGGGCTGTGGTCTCTTTGGCTTGAGGTGTCAGGGGACAGAGTTCAGAGCTGCCACCACAGATGCAAATTGGTGGGCAAAATCTGGGAAGGCTTAAAATCTGCAAATAAACTCCCTTCAAAACCTTGGCTGACCCCTGAACTGGGCATGCACAGATTCTAGCAACAGCTACAAGTCTGAAGAGCTCAGCACGCATTTCTGTGCTACCCAGAGCAGGGAAGGTAGAATTTAGAGTGTGAATTCTGTTAAGTTAGAAAGGCTTGATAAACACTTCATATTTCCCATTGAAGTCCCAAAAGGTTCATGCTAGGAGTACAGGCTGTATCCCAGAATGAAGGCGTTTACCTATAAGATTAAGGATAAAATCCAACAGAGCCCAGTTCTGACAAAGCATAAAATCAAGCCTCCTCCAGTTGAAGGGGATTAGGCAGTAATTACCTGCCCGTGAGAACCAAAGTCAACACCCCTCAGACTGAAAGTCAGAATCTCTACAATGCATCACACACAATGTCCAGTTTTTAAAAACTACTCAATAGGAAACTTCTAGTTTCTGGTCCAGCATTTGGAGCTCTGCAAGTCAGCCCTCCATCCTAACAAGTAAAAAGCTGAACAAAACTAAAAAGTCAATGACTCTTCTGAGATCCATCAGAGAAGTGAGGTCACAGGGCAAACCTCTGCCCCCCAAACTGGAGACAGACAGGTGAGAATACAGAGAATCACAACATACCAGAGCAGAAACCCACAAGCGGACACCTCTGGGAACCAGTGCCCTGGTAGGAAGACCCGAACTGTGATGAACAAATGGCGGGAGGCTCAGTGTAGATGAGTCTAAGAGTTAAAAACCCCATGGGGGTGGGAGTCCTCTTTTAGATGAAAATCCTAAGAAAAAAAGAAAAAAATAAACGCCAGTGATCAAAAGCACTGTGACAGAAATAAGAATAAGAATGCCTTTGATGGGCTCGTTTGTAGAGTCCACGGCTGAGGACAGAATCTCTGAGCTTGAGGATATCTCAAAAGAAGCTTCCAAAGTTGAAAAGCAAAGAGGGAACAAAATCTGCAAAACGCAGAGCAGAATATCCAAGAACTGTGAGGAAACTACAAAAAGTGTAGTGGGAACACTAGAAAGAGAAGAATGAGTGAAAGGAATAGAAGAAATCTATGCAGCTATAATGACTGAGATTTCCTCCAAATTCGTGTCAGACACCAAACCGCAGATCAAGGAAGCTCAGAGACCCTGAGAAAGACCCTGTCGAGACAACAAGAAGTCAAGGCACGACTCGAAGAAAATATTCTCACAAGGCACATCTGATAAAGGGCTGTTATCCGAAACACACAAAGAACTCTTAAATCTCAACAATCAGGATGATGAGAATGAGAACCTGAACAGACACCTCAGCAAAGAAGATACACAGTTAGCAGACAAGCATACGAAAGGGTGCTCAATGCTGTACGTCATCAGTAGTTGCAAAGTAAATAACAAGACCCCACGACACACCTAGCAGGGTGGCCAAATGAAAAACAGTGGCAACACCGAATGCCGGTGAGGGTGTGCAGCAGGGACTGTCATCACTGCCGGCGGGGACGCTAAACAGTGCAGCTACTTTGGAAGACACCTTGGTGTTTTCTTACAAAATTAAATACACCCTAACCGTACGATCTAGCAGTCACGCTTCTTGTTATTTATTCAAATGAGCGTGTGTCCACAAAGAGACCTCCATGTGGATGTTTATAGCATAATCGCCAAAACGTTTGCTCCTAATTGTGAAGACTTGGAAGCAAGCAAGATTTTCTTCAGTGGGTGAATGGATAAATTAACTGTGGTACGTCCAGGCAATAGAATATTATTCAGCTTTGAAAACAAATAAGCTCAAGCCATGAAAAGACATGGAGAAGCCTTAAAGTGGTATTTTAGTCAGCCTAGGCTGCCATAGCAAAATACCATAGACCGGGTGGCTTAAATAATAGAAATTTATCTTCTCACAGTTCTGGAGGCTAGAAGTCCAAGATCAAGGTTCTTGAAAATGTGGTTTCTGGCGAGGGTTCTCTTCCTTGGCTTGCAGACAACAGAGATACAAAAATCCCTCGATACATACTAGCAAACTGATTTCAGCAGCTTGTAAAAAGGATTATACACCATGTCCAAGTGGAATTTATCCCGTGGATGCAAGGTTGGTTCAACATATGAAAATCAGTCAGTGTAAAGCAATGTATATTCATAGAGCAAAAGACAAAAGAATGATCATCTCAATAGATGCAGAAAAAGCATTTGACAAAATCCCACCCTCTGTCATGATATAAACACAGGAAACTAGGAATAAAAAGGAACTTCGTCAACCTGATAAAAATGACCTGTGAGAAACCCAGAGCTAACATCATACTTAGAGAGGAAAGACTGAAAGCTTTTCTCCCTAAAATCAAGAACAAGACATGAATGTCCACTGTCACCACTTCTATTCAACATTGTACTGGAGGTTCCAGCCACAGAAATCAGGCAAGAACCAGAAACAGGAGGCATCCAGACTGGGGAGGAAAAAGTAAAACCACCTCTATTTGTTGATGAAATGATCTTATATAGAGAAAAGCAAATGGTCAAAACCCTCCAGTTAAAAAGCAGAGCCTTATCAAACTGGATGAAAAAGCAAGATTCCTTTCTTTCCTGCCTGCAGAGGCACATTTTAAATATAAAAGCAGTTGAGTTGAAAGGAACAAAATAGATATATCACACAAACAGTAAGCACAGGAAACTGGAGCGGCTATGTTAACGTTAGACAAAACACACTTCACGACGTGGAGCACCAAGATAACGAGGGCTATTGCACGAGGATCGAGAGTCCGTTTTCAAGGAACACAAAACTAAAGGGAAATATAGACAATCTACATCCCAAATGGAGATTTTTAAAACGCTTCTCTCAATAATTGATAGAACAACTAGGCAAAAAGCCGGGAGGGACACAGATGATCTAAACAACTATCAGCACCTCCACCTGATTGAAATTTATGGAACGTTATACACGAGAACTGCACAATACACATCTGCTTCACTTCCACACGGTGTGTTCACCAAGACAGATCATCTGCAAGGCCATAAAATAAGTCTCAGTAAGTTTCAAAAGACTGAAAACTTCCAGAGTGTGTTTTCTGATGACAATAAAATTAAATGAGAAAAGACAAAGATAAGACAGCTAAAAAAAGGCCCCCCAAATTTGGAAATTAAGCAACAGCTTTCTAAATGACCTATGAGTCAAGGAAGATATTAGACAAGGTACTAGAAAATATTTCCAACTAGATAATGAAAGTAAAACATAGAATTTGGGAGATACAGATAAAGCAATGCTTAAAGGGAAAACTGTAGCTATAAACGCTTATATTTGAACACGAGAAAGGTTTAAAATTAGTTATATAAATGTCCTCTTTAGTAAACTAGAATAAGGAGAGTAAAGTAAGTAAAGAAGGAATGGAAACAAAAGCAGGAATCATGACATAGAAAATGATAAAGGAAATAGAGCTAAAAGTTGCTTCATTAAAGATTAATTAAAAGGATAATGAGGAAATATTATGAACAATTTTAGGCCGGTAAAGTTGACAACTCAGATGAAACGGACAAATTATTTTAACAACTTACCAAAGCTGATACAAGAAGAAATTAAAAATCTGAATAGCCCTGTACCTATTAAAGAAATTAAATTGATAACCAAGAACTTTTCCATCAAGAAACCTCCAGGTCCGAAGAGTTTCACAGATGAATTCAATCAGACGTGAAAGAAATAATACCAATCTCCCATAGCCCCTTCCAGAAAACAGAGAAAGGAACACTTCCCAACTCATTTCCCAAGGTTAGCAAAACCTGATACCTGACCCCGACACAGACGTTGCAGGAAAGGAAAATTATAGACAAAATCTCGGCAGATCAAATCCATCACTATATAAAAAGAAGAATACATCACAACTGAGTTTATCCAGGAATGTAAAGTTGACCTAACATTTGAAAACCAGTCGACGTAATTCACAGCATTAAGAGGGTCCTTATGCAAGTATATACACTTATAGGAACTCATCAAATCCTGCCGTTTAGGTCTGTGGCTTTCACTGTGTGTAAAGTTTCCCTCAATTACTCTTTTGAAAAGGAAAAAGCAATATGATCACTTCATTCTAGGCCACACCGCGAAACAGACTCGCTGCCTCTTAAAGCTCCTCCTAGGACACGACCTCAGAAATCACAGCCTCATCATAGAGGGACACACACCTCTTTCTCTAATCTAATGCGGTAGATGTCAGTTCACCTCACTTATCCCAAAGCAGTTTTATGTAATTAGCACGCAGATTTTCAGGGACGGGGGTGAGGAAAAGGAGGAATCAGAGCGCATCCGGGCTTCATCCTGTTTCATCCTATTTCATCCCATCTGTTGAGATTTCCATTCTTCCCTTGCTAACTTTCCTGGGAGTTTGGTGATGCCTCAGAAGAACAGAACTCCCCTGGGTATCATAATTCCTATCTGACTGTGATCCCTTCAAAGAGTCCTATCACTTCATAGTAGCATTTATGATCCCAGCGTCATGATGACAAGGGCTTTCTGGCTGGGTTATGACTTCTGAAATTAACTCAGCCTGGAGAAACCATACCTCTGAGACAGGGTAATGTAAGGGCTGGCATCTGGACACGAATAACAAACATCTCACTGGTTTGCATTTTAGGTCTTGGAAAGTCGAAGATTCTTGTGGCGTTTTTAATATCCTTCAAGTGATGAACTCAAAGAACTTGTTTTGTTTTTATGCCACATTTTCTTTGGGGGTCACTTATTCACCCTCAGGGCAAATAAATTTTTGTTCCTTATTATATAATTATTTGGAAAGCTCTAACTTTAAATAACTGAATCGGGACTTCCCTGGTGGCGCAGTGGTTAAGAATCCGCCTGCCAACGCAGGGGACACAGGTTCGAGCCCTGGTCCGGGAAGATCCCACATGCCGCGGAGCAACCAAGCCCGTGCGCCGCAACTACTGAGCCTGAGCTCTAGAGACCGAGAGCCACAACTACTGAAGCCCATGCGCTTAGAGCCCGTGCTCCGCAACAAGAGAAGCCACCCCTATGAGAAGCCCGCGCACCGCGACGAAGAGTAGCCCCCGCTCGCCGCAACTAGAGAAAGCCTGTGCGTAGCAATGAAGACCCAACACAGCCAAAAATAAATAAATAAATAAATTCATTTTTTAAAAAAGAAATTGAGTTAAAAAAAAAATAACTGAATCAAATTGGAATCCACAACAGATCCCAGATTTGGGTGAGGGGTTTTTTTTTGGGGGGGGGGAGGCGTTGGGGGGGAGCTTGTTTTTCATTCATTAAAAAAAAGTGTTAGGGTTCCTACCAGATGCAAGATTCTGTGCCAAGCATGTCAAGACAACAATGATTAAAGAGCTTTTACAGAGGCTGAGTTCAGAGAGCTTAAAGCTACTAGAAGAAATAAAAGATGTACTTAAATAACCGGCGTATATGGCAGAATGTGGTAAATACCGGAGTTCTCCATATCCTACCCAGCTGGGAAGACGAGAGGCAGTTCTCAATCCAGGGGGGCCTTAAAAGCCGAGAGGGATTTTACCCTGGAGGCCAAGGAGAAGAACCGTCGCTCTTGGAGAACCAAGACTAGGAAAGTACAGGGACCCAGGGCGGAGGGAGTCCGAATTCAGCTGGAGGCAAAAAGCCACTGCAAGACTTTGCGAACCATGCTGCTATCACCCTTCTGAAATATACGTTTAAGATGGTCACAGGGTGAGCCAAGTAGGAGAGAGGCTTGGCTTCGCTAAACAGACCTGTGACATCTATGTTCTGAAAGAGTCTCTTGCTTCAGAATATCTCTAAGCTCCCACTGAATGTTCAGCCAGACTGGCATTGAGAGCATAACCGTGGGATGAAATGTTTTTCACGTGAAAAAGTGGGCAGCGTGGATGTGCTGGACCAGCTCTGAGCTGGCTGGAGATCTAGGCGAACAGCAGAAAGGCCTTATTAGCGTACCTGTAGGTACAGAGGGCCTGGGCAGGGCCCTGGCATGCTGAGCCCTCCTCCTGGGCCCGGGTTTGGGGCGGCACCATCGGAGATGCTGAGAGCACCCTGAAAGGGGGCAGCCCACATCATCCCGGAGGCTCGAGCGAGAGCCCGGGTGGGACAGGGCCCCTCAGTAACTCACCGGTGACGAAAAAGGCCTTGTACCGCTCCAGGCGGACAGTCTGAAGGGCTCCGTCCTCTCCGGCCGCCCCACTGTTGGGGTGAAACAGCACCTGGGAAAGGGGGACAGGGCTTACAAATAAGAAAACCATGCTAGAGGCTCCCTGGAAAGCATTACTTTCTTTTTCCTTTTTTTTTGGCCGCGCTGCGCGGCATGCGGGATCTTAGTTCCATTGGAAGCACAGAGTCTTAACCACTGGACCGCCAGGGAAGTCTCAGCATTACTTTCTTTGTCGTGGTCCCTGTTCCCCATCACCTGCCAAACCCACCCTCTGACACCCAGCCCAGCCCCAAACACAGACACAGGCCTGTGGTCTACACCATCCAACTCCCGGGAGCCTGTGTGAAAGAGCTCTTTTGCTAGTCAATTAATCGTAGTGGGTTACAGCTCTGCTTGGATTCCTAGGCCCAGTACTAGCCATGTCATCTGCAGGGTCCAGTGCAAGATGAGAATGAGAGAAACCTTGTCCAAAAATTAAGGATTTCAACTGTATAGCACAAGGAATTATACTAAATATCCTGTGACAAATCATAATGGAAAAGAAAATGAAAAAGGATGTGTATATGTATAAGCGAATCACTTTGCTGTGCAGCAGAAATTAACCCAACATTGTACATCAACTATACTGCAGCAAAATAAATTTCCTTTTTTAAAAAATTTTTTATTCATTTATTTTTGGCTGCGTTGGGTCTTCGTTGCTGCACGCGGGCTTTCTCTAGTTGCAGCGAGCTGGGGCTGCTCATCATTGCGGTACACGGGCTTCTCATTGCGGTGGCTTCTCTTGCGGGTTCTAGGCACATGGGTTTCAGTAGTTGTGGCACATGGGCTCAGTAGTTGTGGCTCGCGGGCTCAGTAGTTGTGGCTCACAGGCTCTAGAGCGCAGGCTCAGTAGTCGCGGCACACGGGCTGTGGGATCTTCCCGGACCACGGCTCCAACCTGTGTCCCCTGCCTTGGCAGGCGGATTCTTAACCACTGCGTCACCAGAGAAGTCCCAAAATAAATTTCTTGAAAAGCTATTTTCTTTTAGTTACTACCCCCCCCCCACCAC